CTGGTATCGGCAGGCCGCGGGTTTCGTTGCAGTCGCAGCTCTGTATGAATTACATTTCAGTAACCTGAAAGCTGAATTGGGGAGAGAAGAAATAAACGGTCGTGGCAGACACGTCCCTCCGACTTGGTTGCTGTATGTGAAATAGAGCAACAGCAATCCTGATGGGTTTCACTGGAGAAGAATTAACTGCTCCCGGCTGCAAACGAGCTAAGTAACGTGCTTCATTTGATCACGGCATTTCTGCGTGCCTTTTGGCTGCAGAAGAGGTGCTCAGGACGCCCACCTCCTGGCCGAGACGGGGCGGTCCCGTGGGCCGGGGCGCTGCGGGGGGACACCGGCGCTGCTGCAGAGCCCCTCTTGCCCGGCGGGTCGTCGCAGCCAGCTAGCCCTGTGCGGTTGTTTGGGCCATCACGGGCACGTGCCGGGAGAAGGGCCGTCTTTCTCTGGGCCCTGTGTAGGGTGCGCAGGTGGAGAAGACAGAAGCGCCGACCCGGCCTAAGGGACACGCTGGCCCCTCACGCACCTGGAGGGGAGGGAGGTCCCTGCTGCTGCCAGCCAGTTCTCCAGCGGGTTTTTATACCTGGCCGTACAGGAGTTGACTCCTACAATCCTTTGCATCAAGACCATCCAGAAATCATCTTGAGAACATTTCTGCCCTTCTTGTTGCCTTATAAAACAACAAACGTTTCCAGAGCTGAGGAGGTGATATTCATAGCACGTAACTTCCGCAGCAGTGAGAGCTGCGGTACTTGTGTTCACGGCCCACCTTTGATTAGTTCTCAGGTGCGAACATTTTGTGTGGCATTGCCGTTTGTGGAGCCAAGCTCTGTGTCTCGGCAGCGCGGAGCAGCTGGACACGTAGGGCTCCCATTAGCCGTGGTACTCCAAAAAGCCAAATTAAAGAGGGATTGAGCTCAGCAGCCTCAGGAGGGCATTTCAAGGCCCTTAGCGAGTGACCACTCTAGAGCTTTTTCCATTTACCTGGATTAAAAATTGTCACAGCGAAAACACAAGCAAATCGCATAGCGTCTGAAAAGTGTAACAAACAGCGTTTGGCCAGCGGTCAGGCTCGAAGGGAAAAAAAGCCACAGGCTAAATAAAGCGTACAAAAATGTTTGCATAGCATTGGATTAATCGTTCTGTTTTAAAACGGCGCTGGAATGAGAGAGATGCGTTTTGTATGCTGGGACTCGCGCTCTGTTCTTAGACTAATAAATGCCAGCAAGTACATCTCGGTGAAATAAAAAGGCTCATTAGCCCCCAGCCTGATTGTAGGTCTGCTGAAGCAGCAGTGTTTTACGCAGACCTTTGGAAGAGGAACAAATGCCTGTGGCGTTTCTGGATCGGCGCGCTGTCTTCGGTAGGGAGTTTGGAGGCTAGGCTTTCCCATAGAAAGGGGATTCTGTCCGGCTGCCCGCGTCCGCTTGCGAGTCTCCAATGCAGTTCACCTCCGTGTTTTGTTGGCTGCAATTTTGAAAGCGGTAACGCAGGGCGGAACTCGCTCCCCATCCCCCAGCACGCGCACAACCGGCGTATTTTAAAGCCTGCCTTTGCAATAATTCATTCGCACTGCTCCCACCTCCTCTTCTCCAGCCCTGCTCCCTGTTTTGCTGAAGTCAGTGCAGTCCCTGTCACTCCTCCGGCAGGCCTGTGCTTAAGCACCACTCTGTGCCTCTGAATCACATCAGTTACCTTATTAGTGCGGAATAATCAATGAATGTCGTCCTTGATTCCTTCGCTTGTTTTGTTTGTGGTATCGTCTCAAGACACCCACCCGTTTGCCTCCTCTCCCCAGAAGTTTGCATTCCCTGCGGCGTCTCAGGGGAAGGTGAAGGCCATGCCGGAATCGGGGCGGCAGGTACCGCTTGGCCTGAAGTGCAGTCTCACACGTCGCCGCGCGTACCGCGAGTGGTACGTAAGCGACTTCACAGCGGCATGTTGGAAGAAAAATCTGACCTGCCACCTTTTGTGCAGAAAAGAAGGGAAACAGATGTTTCGGCAGCAAATGCCTTTTACATCTGGCTTGTCTCTGGCGCTGCTCCTTTCGTCGCTACTGCTCCTGTAGTGCGGTGCGGTTGTCCTGCTAGTACGAGAGCAAAGCCTGGGGTCTGTCATCCTAAAACACAGTCACTGCTAGTTTCTCAGCTGCGTATGGTTAGTATCAGACAGAATAATGAACTTGGAAACCAGAAACCTCCAAACAGCAGTGTGTGTGATTTCCACCTGTTTTCCTGTTCCTTTTCCCTTCTGCCGGCTCCAGAATCCATGGTAGGCCGTAGCATTTACATCTTAATCCTAATCATGATGCTAATTAAAAACTGAGTTTACATAAGCAGCTGCAAATAAATTAAAGGAGCAGGGAACTGAATTAGCAGCTAATCCTGGTTTGGTAGTGAAAGCAAAGGGACTAGTAATTCTTTCTGTTATTTCGCCTGTTCTTGTGGCAGGATGAGGCTCCTGCACTGAGAAACGCCTGGTTTTGCCCTGTTAGGACATGCCATGCAAGCCCGAACTGTTCACCGGCAGAGCGCGCGCTTCTGCCAGCGCTGCCGGTGCTTGTTGGTTGTGAGACCGGGACGCGCTTCCCAAACGGGCGGCCTGGGAAAGAGCAGGGTAGGACAGAAACCATTACAACTGATGTAATGATATACAGGTTAGCTGGTGGAGGGACTTTTGTGCTGACATCTTCAAACAGTGATGTTTGCTTTTGCCCTTGCGCTGCAGGTGTTTCAAAGCACGTCACCTAGTTTGAGTTTGGATCTGGCTTCGTACAGCCCCTTCTGAAACGCAGGGACCTAAGTCTTATTCACAGAAAGTGTTTCTTGTCCCCGTGTGCTCCCTTGCTGCAGAGATCACAGGGTGCAGAGATGTACCAGTGTCCGGGTGCTTTATAGCTTGGACTGTAATAGCCGGCTTGAATAGCTGGCTGAGGCTGTGCTTGCAAAGGAGCTCTCACTGGGCATTTTCAGAGGTGCACCAAAGCATCAGGATTAGTGAGGGTCCCAAAGTCAGGCTGCAGGATTGAAATCGTTCCTTTTTATGGGCTGGAAGCGATAACGCTATGAACTGAATTATACTCGTGTCATGACGTGATCCACGTATTTTTATGCGTGGATAGATATTGATTATCCATCAATAGGGATGGAGGATAGGTGATGATTCAAAGCCTGGCTGCTAGGTAGCTGGGTGTCCTGGGCTGTTTATCTAGTTGATTAAAATATTGCCGTGATTCACCTTATTTACTTAAAACTGGAATTTGCTTGTATCCCCATGACCTCGCCTATACCTCTAAAATCAAGTCTATCTCTGTTTTTCAGGACGGGGAAGGCCAGACTGCACTCCATTATGGTAAGCTGCCTTTCAGCTTGGTTGTTGCCTCTTAACAAGATGGATTTCCAGCTTGAGTAAATGATCCTACGTGCAGAAAGCAAATTTCAGCAGAAACGTTAGCAAGGGAGTTGGGTTTGATTAACCAGCTGGCTACCTCCACCAGCAAATCCTAGCGTGGCATAGCCCCATGGAGATGAAGATCTGTGCCAGCCCTAACAAGTTACATCAGCAAGGGGAAGGGGAGGAGCGATATGGCCTGAAGTTCCAGATGTCCCAGTTGCAGACTGGTCTGACCCCAGCTGATGATACAGCAGCAGATTCTCTACTACCGAAGCAAGCAGAGTATGTTCTGTGAGGTGAAGTTACAGTTTGTGTCACTCCTACAATTACATGCTAATTAGATGTGCGGTTTTATAGTAATCTTTTTAATTGAAAGATTGTTCTATCTCCAAATGAGAAAAGTAGAGAGACTAAAATGACACATGCAGTGCTGATGTGCAGGGAATAGAAAAAAGAATATTGATTTAATCTATATCATATTTTTTTCCAAAATTAAGACAGATCCAGTCATCATTTTATACTCTCTCAGTGCCTGTCACTGTGTAATTAAGAACGTACTTGTCACTCTTGAAGTGTTTGCATCTCTTCCTCTGTCCATGGTCTCGCCACAAAGACATTAGCAGGACAGCAAATTTACTTTGTAGACCATCAGTCCGAGATACAACATTTGGATCTGGACCTAAACTATGAAATTCCAGGGTTCCTGAACGAGAATGTAGTTACAGTAATGTATGATTTTTCCCCACGTGGTCTTTCCCGTAGGATGCTTTCCTTCTGGTTTTCCTAATTCTTATCATTGTGACTGAAGTAGAAAATCTGCTGCTGAGTGCTGCAGACAGCGTCCGAGGAACAACGGTGTTTGGCTACCATGTTGTACTCTCTCTCTGCCCAACTCATTCCAAATTTGGAGTTTTCCTTTCTCGGGAGAGATACCCTCCCCTGCTCCCTAACTCTGGCACTGACATCCATCTACCTGGGCGTACATGGTGATTTATGCTACGTTGTGCAGAAGCCTGGCAGGGGTATAATTTATCCAAGAGCACCTGCTTCAAGCAAGTCAAATACCCTAAAAAAGAGGGTGGATGCATTACCTTGCTGTGAATTATTTCCTTTACAGGTGGATCCCCTTGGCTGGTAGTTGAAGCTAGTTGAGTAACACAAACAAACAAACATAACTGAAACGATTAAGATGGTGTCAAAAAACGGTTTCTCTGACCCACCACGCCAGCTAAGATGTTTAAATAATCAGAGTTTTCCACCTTTTTTCCCCAGAATGTTTTGAGTGTTAAAAAAATTTTATCCTCTTGAGTATTACCCCATCTCACCTCCCTGTAAGCAGTCTATGCGGAAACCTGTCTGGGTCCCTAGTGCCCAGGCCTGATCTGTCTGCGGGTGTCCTGCTGTCCCTGGTGACCAGCATTGAACCCAGTCCGCTGAAGATTTCCTTCCTCATTTCCTTAGTTAGAAAATCTGGTAATAAGTCACCCAGATCATGCACATAGCTTGTTAACTTGGTGAATTGTTTTGATTCAAGCAGTTGTTGGCCTGGAAGTGGAATTCACTGAAAATCCCCCCGATATGATCTCTGTAAGCTCTTCATAACCAAGTCATTAATTGCAGCGGAGGTACACAAGAGCTCATGTGAAAAACATCTCTTCTGGTGTTGAGCAGAATATTGCGTTTACAAGGCCTCCCCTGTTGGTAGAGATTTTTCAGGAAAGGGTTAAATCCCATAAGCAAGGACAGTAAGACAGTGACTGCTTTTAGGGTTTATCCATCCCTTTTTATGAGCAAGTTTGGCCTGACAGCTGTCCTTGTGGTGACAGCTCTCCTGATTACAGCCGGTGTCAAACTGCATCCTGCGACGGGTTATAAATTCTGTCTCATTGCGATTGGCGCTGACCCTGGGTTTAATCGGAGGTTAAGTGGAGGCCAATACTCCAGCCTGGCCTTCCCAGCCGGGCTTCCCATTACGATATCCGGAGGCACCCTTTGCCTTGGAGATCCGCCATGCAACCGGCTGTCTCCTGGGCGCTGGGCCCTGTGGTTAAATGCGGCGACTGGGGCCGCGTTGATTGGTATGAGCATGGTCTCCCTGCTAAATGGCCTGTTAGTCTTCAGCTCCTCTCCATCCATCCATCCACCCACCCACGGGGAATACTAAAATCATTGCCTCCGCGTCTCCCAGAGGAAATCAAGGCTTCTCCTAGCGCTCGCGGCCACGTGGCCGCGGGGTGGGCAGGCTCTGTATCCTCATGGGCGCTCTGTCTTCCTTGCAAAGCACCATCTGTTCAGCTCCTTCTGCGCTGTGGCAGGGCAGTGGGAGGGGAAGCTGGA